CCTTTATATGTACAGTTAAGGATAATTCCACGACGTCACGTTACTTCAATGCTAATATTTTCCAGAATATTTTCAAAACGCTTACGCGTTCGAGGGTGCGTATACTTCACACGTTCCTTTCATTGTTTCTTAGCGCAGAATGCTACTTATCAAGGAATTTTACTTAAAGTGGCTGCACGGGCTGGTGCAAGAGCCGGTTCATCATTTGGAGCGAAATGGGCGAGAAAGAGTGGTGCAAAAGCTGGTGCAAAGGCTGGTGCGATAGCAGGAATGAAGGCTGGAGCATCAGCAGGGGCTCGTGCAGGTGTACAGGGTGCAATAAAAATAGTAACAAAAACTCTGGAGGATGCATTTAACTCTCTTCATGGTAATGACGGACACAATTTTAAAATTGTTATCAAAAATGACAGTGTTGTTTCTGTAACTGGTCCGGGAATGGAAAGTGCCCCTGGGGGAGCAAGCACAGCTGAAGCTGCTGCAGCATCAGGAGCCACTGGAAGTAGTGGAGGCGGTGGTGTTTCTGGGACCCCTGGAATCGCTGGAACAGCTGGGACAGCCGGCACTTCTGGCACAGCCGAGACTGGTGGAGTTCCTGGAGCTGGAGGTGGAAATGGAGAAGGAGGTGGAGCCACTGAAGGTGCTGGAGTTATAAGTGGGAGTATCGCAGGCGGAGGTTTAGCAGGTGGAACTATGACAGGTGGTAGTGCTGGTGTTGCTGGTGGAGCGACTGCTGGTACTGCAGTACCAATTGGTGGAGTTGGCAGTTCTTCACAGGTTACCTCAGCCTCGAGCTCAGCAAGTGGGAGCAGTGTAGCTGCTGGGGCTGGTGAAGAAGAAATAGACAGTTATGCACTGTCGCCTGAAAGGCCATTAACTATTATTCCAAGACCAGGGGAAGATCCCCAAGCCCTCGCTACATCACAGGCCATGCTCTGGCCAAAAGTGGGGGGTGCAACTGGGCGTAAGTATCCGATTCTAAGATGTAATTTTCTTTTCAGTCATTCTTTGCGCACTGTATTTTACTTGCGCCACGTCTAACTGTTTATTCTATACCACCTAAACTGTATCAGTAATGAACCTCATGTTCCTAACTAAATTCAAAGTTTAGGAGTGAGACTTACTAAAGATCTTAATTTATTTCAGTTGTAGCAAATGCAATATATACATTCCACTCATGGGGGCTACCACACAGACAAGAGGAAACCTACTTGAATAACTGTTGGCGGTCAGTTAATGGGGTGCTCTACATGAAGTCATTTTGCCAAGCTTTTATTGCTCGAGTACCTGCACTCTATGCCAAGGCAACCTTAAAAAACTACAGCGTATCGTTTGAGTCTGTGTGTAGACCTGGCCATTTCCTAAGACAAAAAAACTATCATTATCTTCTGGAAAAGAGAGATGGAACGGAGCTCTTTGGTGAGATGATAAGTACGATTTATCGAATTCATTCACGCTATTTCTCGAACTCACTTTCCATTTCCTGATTTCCTTTAAACAATGACGAGACGGGTTCTTCATATTTGGACGAGCATACGTTATAATCTTTATTAGTAGATTCGGAACTTTGGTATGGTCAACGGCAAGAATTGTATCTTAGTTCGCCTACTTCTTTTAATTGTTACAGAAGTTTAGAAATCCAGATGCAACTATGCTCACGTTAATGCACGAGTTTCTTTGAATACAGTTGGACGGTTTTCATACAATGGGGCAACTTTTGAGAGAATTGTTTGGGTGAGTGTGAAAATGGAATGTGTATCTCCCAGACGCGATAACCCAAGTTTTCTGACCCGGCGTTAAGAAACACTGCATCTTGGTGGAATACTCTAACATCTAGACACATTAAAGAAAGATTTCTCTTGACTTGCAGCTTTCGTTCATTTCAGATAAAGACAGCTCCTTTTACATCTACTCGGTGATGAAGTATCATCGGAATCTACTTTTCAACGCTATGCACCAAGACTGGTATATATGCGAAGAGAGTGGTGGAAAAGAAGGGGAACTCGCAATGGTTCTCGACTTTTACAAAGGTGAAACGGATGTTCTACAGCGTTGCTCCTTTGCAGTCTACCCGCTAGCATTAAACGGTAACAAGTTCATGAACTGCAAAGACGTCCTCGGCCCAATAAAGCACCCAGAAATTAATGGACAACCACTGCCCCACCTACCTCATTTACTTTCACGTTTTCCACCGCCGCCTCCTCTCCTGCCTGTATGTTTGCCAGTATGCCCAGTACAAACAGTAGGAGGAGCTTCAGCAGAGGGAGGAACAACTGCTCTGACTTTTCCTTCCTCAGCTGGAGTTTCAAGTGTCCACGAAAGTGCACGTACGTCTTTCCCCTTTATTCAGTGTAAAATATGGTTTAATTCTAATGTGTCATCATAACCAAATCTGAGCTGCTTCACATTTCCTCCTGGATTGGCACTAACTGCATCAGACAAACTAATGGCCACTGGTTTTAGATATCCCTTGCCACAGAAAGTGGGTCAAGTATTTACGTTCGAGCATTGAAACGCCTATTCCAGAGTATGAGTCAATGCAATTTCATTCTGTGCCAAACCATTTCAGTTTGTTTGCAAAGTTGATAAATATGCGCAATCTAAACGTGTAACAGTTTTCGAAATATTTTTCTAAATCAGTTTATATGTCAGTGGGTATCGATAAAACGACTTATGAACCCCGCAGGGAGTTTGAGTGGCAAGAAAAGAGTCCAAAAGCTGCTCGCTGTGTTTCAACCTGTTGAACGAATGAACTCCTCAAAGTCCCTCTCGCTCGAATGACAATAGAACCATAGGCCTCTTTTTGAAATATTAATTTGATAGGATGGAGCTTTGCATCTTAGACGTTTGGTAAAAGTAGCCTAAAAGCTTAGAATTGTGTGTCGTATAAAAGATAAAGCAAAAAAATGTCGATCGATTAATTCACTGAGATAAAATCCTGTCAGCATTGCATTATCTCTTTCCTTTTTTTCAGCGATGTGCGTTGCACTGGTCTTCATCAACCACTTTTACGGTCCATTCAAACTTTATTCTCCTCTTAAAAAGGATGGATATTACGTCAATGAGTCAGAATTTCAACTAAAATTCATTGTGGACCGACCCGAGCTGCATGGCCTGGTGGAATTCAGTGCCCGTGACCCAGCAGGCAAAAGCAACCTTCTTTTAAACGGAAAATCAAGCATTCTGGAACCAGTCGTGCGAGGTTGTCCTACTTTTCGGAAAGTTTCAGTGGCATCCCAACAAGGTGATGTAAAGTCTTGAAAAGTTAACAATCTTCTAGACTCGCCAATCATTTGATAAAATGAAAACAGATAAAGTTGTTCAGTTGTTCTTTGGTGTTGGTGTGTTACAGGGAAATGATCTTGATGGAAAGACTTTCTTCGAAATTTGATTTTACAGTGTGTGCAAAGCTTCCCCAATAGGAAATCTGCTCCTAAACGATCTACAAGCCACGAGAGATTATCCACTTATAGAGAGCATACCAGCCGCTTAAACAGGCATCTCAAATGATTAAAAGATTTATTTTAGGTATTTTTCAGGCAAATACATCAAGTAATTCACATGCTCCGCCAGTGGGATCTGGAACTCTCTCTCCTCAAAAACCAGTACCGTCCCAGCCATCTCAATATGGACCCCCAACGCCACATTTGCCTCCAACTCCATCACCTTTTCCCTTGCCTCCTGCTCCTCCCACTTCTCAAACTACATCGGCATATGAACCGTCGGTTGCTCCTCCTCCCGTACCAGCTTCAGCTCCTCCATCTTTGGGGTCAGAATCGCCATCCCACCATAAAGGTGTTGTAACATACGATCGAAGACAACAATTCATTGAGCTACTTATATTTTTTAACCTATCCAATTCATGGATGATACCAATATCCTTTTCATGCTGATTTGTCTCTTTTTTTGGTTTACAGATAATGGATCCCTTCACTATCATTTCCATTATCATCATTTGAGGGCTCCTTTGAATGGTAATAAAAATCATCAGTGTTCCTATACAGAGAAGTTTACGTTATATAGATTTTTTGTTTCATTAAGAATAGTTATAAGATCATAATTGAATAATCATGGAGCACCCTAAGTTGTTATTAGCCTCAGAGAAGAAAAAGGTAAGAGCGTTCTTCGTGGAAAAGATTGAGGGACAGTGAATTAAACACTCATACGTAGAAAAATATTTTACTTAAAGCTGACGATTCAATCATCACTTGCAATTGCATTATACTCTGAGACTTTAAAAATGCACGTAATTTAATGAGACAATTTCCAGCATCGCTATGTGCGATAATATTTATCTACTATATAAATTACTTACAAAAAGACGGGGAGTGAAGCTTCTGATATTTAAGTGGTTTTTCGTATCAGTAACTATACTTTTTCATGCTCTGTAATTCACTCCTCTTTTACTTTATTTTTGACAGCTTTGTTTATTAATTTGGAGAGTGACCTTGCCGTTATTTTTCAGGCTGATTTGAATTTAATGGTGGTTTCATCGTTGGCAAAATTATATTTTGCAGGTTGTCCAAGTGGATGTTTTGACTTGGTCCCATGTCCTCCTCAATCTTGTCCGTTACACTGTTGTAAGCGAGACTTAAACGAATACGTCGATGACGACGAACTTATACAATAACAAGACTGCTCCTCTAAATCGAAAAACAAATGATGGAATGAGAACGCAGCTATGAGCTCCCTTCTCTATTGATTCCCCGTTTAACCCTCCTCCTTGCCCTCTCTTATCAAAAGTTGTAAAAGGGTCGTGTTATTATCGTTCGCGCCAAATGTGGGCTATTGTTTACATAAACTGGTAAGTCAACTATTTGACTTTCTTTAAAAGTCATAGAAAACCATACTTAACGAGAGTTACTTGCCTCCAACTGTACTGACCTATTGTTTCTCAAACTTTTAATAACCAAACAGACGGTAGCTATTCTTTGAAAGTGAAGAAATAAATAAAGTTAGCTTTATTTTGGAACTTCAAAAGGAAAACAAAACTATTCAAATTATCTATAACTTTAATTCAAAACATTCAATCGGAAAAAAAACCATAATTAAGACACAAAGAAGAAATATTACAACCATTATATTATTCTGTTGTCAAGGTCGCTCTTATGAAGAGAACTCGTATGATTTACATGTTTATTAAAAGAGTAAGTCAGTTCAAGAAGTAACCCATAGAAAACATTTTTTGCAAGATTATCAGGATATTTTGCATTCCGTTCGCCGGCCTGTAAACGCCACAGATATCGTTTCGTTTAGCTTCGCAAGAAAATCGAGCTAAGCAGCTCAGTAAAAGGAATGATTATCCTCTACAATTATTTCATCCACTAGTCGACCATCAGAGCTTCATAGGTGTCTCCATGCGCCTTATATTCATGTGCAGGTTCATTTGGCCCGTGATAATGGTAATGATAATGAATTCGATGATTGCCACCTGATTGAAAGATATAAAAGAAGAACGGATGTAGCTTACAATCATTTTTCCAAGTATGACTGCTGATTAAGCGTGATTTTCAATTCACCAATTATACATCCACAAGATCTCAAATGGGGTGAAAAGTAAGTCTATAGGGTCTTGGTAAGTCTCATAGGTATTAATATCTTCGTTATTAAAATCATATGGAAATTGATTTCGAATTCTAGCCTCCGCCCATAAGAAAGCTCTGATTACCCACGGGCTTGTCGTGTTCTTTAATGAATCCGCACCTTTAGTTAAAGCCTAAAAAGTCTGGCAATCAAAATTAATTAGAATTCCATCGATATACCCAAACAAGCATACTTACTGATGTACGTACCTTCCTGGGATGTGGCGCCGAGAATATTTGGTGCATTAGGAGGAGAGGCCCAAGCTGTTAGTAATGGGACACATAACCTCAGGGGAAGGAAGTGCGCCAGGTATGACGGGATTGGCAGGAGCTGCTGTAGAGGCACCTTATGATGAAAAGTGCAAGTATCCATTAACAGGTTATAAGTTATTGGAACCATATTCCTTTCCCATCTTCTTATAAGGGCTGTGGAAGAAAGTTACCCACCTGGATCACTTCTCACTTAGCTAAAATTTACTCCTGTGATGGATCGGGCTTTGGCTAAAGTGTTGTCAGGATCTGGGCCTCTGAACTAGATGGTGGATAAGGTGGTCAATATTTTTTACGGATCGTTTCCATCTCAAGTTTTTGTTTATTTCCTTAAAATTGCGTTAAAACAATACCCGGTTAATTCTCAAAGAGTAACCAAATCAAATATGCAGCCAAGAAGAAAAAGCTTAATATCTTTCAAAACGACCTCGATACTTCTCTTAGTTTATAACTGAACTACATTCAGCATATCAAGATTCATATTTTGGCAAAATTAGAATAAAAAATTATTCATGTAGGTGCAGAGCCACCTAAAGGACTCTGAATTTTAAGTCTCGTACTAGGCATACTGAGCACTTGTTCGCCAAAATTACGCCTGCAGTCTAAGCTAAACTTTTCTCTTAAAAACAAAATTGAAAACACTCGAGAAGACGGCCACAATTTGCTGATGTCTTCGACTGTTTCACTTCCGCATTAAAATGGAAGCGAGTGGATGGTCGATTCTTACTTACCTGCCTGGGATATTGTCATTGTTTGAGGCGGAGGACGTAGAGCCGCAGGCGGAGAGATAGGACCTGATGGCGATGGCGCGGGAGGGGTTGCTACTGAAACCAGAGAAGACGAGGGAGCAACCCCTGAAGCACCTTGTGAAAAAGGAGGCGCCGCTGATGGTGGTTGTGGTGCTGGCATTGGCATTGAGGGTGCTTGAGGTGAAACACCAGGAAAGTGATGATGATGGTGGAAGAGATAAAATGAAGACGGAAGTAGAGTGTGGAAAAGTGAAACAGAGAGAGAAAGGATTGTTGCTAAGTATAGCATTGATGCAAAGGGTTGTTTCTGTTTGGTAATAATGATAATGAAATAATATATTATTGTTAGACCGTACAACGATCCATAACATCACTATTTGACTGAAGTATTTTCTACGTCGCCATATCTGGGTGTACTTCACCTCCCTAAACAGTATGACAAAGCATGTAAAAGAATGAAAACCAAATATTTTCTGGCCAATTTTTCAATATCACCCAATATAAATTGCTCTTACATTATTCTTTTTTACAAGAACTCGCTAAAATTATTCTTTCTTCTTCTTCTACTTCTCATACCTTGCTCTGTCGTCACAAATACGTCCTTGGACTGGGGACAACCAGCGACCACTGGCTCTGATAAGCTCGAGTGTTCATTAAGAAGAATTTTTCGTTTCCCTGAAAGATCTTCGGCGTAGAATGTAACGTGACTATGCAGTTCAGGTCGATTTATTATCAGTTTTAATTTAAAGGCAGCTCCAGTGACGAGATATCCCTCGTGTTTGAGAGACGAGAAAAGTTTAAATGGAGAGCCAACTTTGTTAATGAAGTTTACTGCAACACACGTCTCTAAAAGAAAAAGACACAAGTACTTTATCATATTCCTTCCTTTAAACTCTGCTATAAAAGTATGAGATTGTCCAACTTAACTGTCTCATAACGTTAAGCGATAAGGAAAACACGCCTCGGATTAGCGAAGACGAATTCACAAGAGACTCCAATCCCAACGTCTTCCCATAACCACTTCATCGTAGATTAAAACTATTGCCGGCCTATCAATAATTGTAAAAGTGTTAAACACCTACTCGGGAGATAAGATGGTCCATGTGATACTTCAGGTGGTGAAGGAATAATCGGTGTTAAAGGTCCGACGCTTGTTTCCTGCTCAATCAATCCACCCCCAGTTCCTGCAGGACATACCGGTATACAAGATGGAAGAGCAGGGGAGTTGGATGTTGCTAGTGGAATTAAGTGCGGAGGATGAGGCAATGGTTGACCACTTATGGATGGAGTTTGCACTGGCCCTATTGTGTTCTTGCACCACCTCAATATATTTTCATTTTGAGCGATGGGGTGAAATAGAAATGTGCAGCGAGCGAGGACGTCTGGATTTCCGTCATAAAAGTCCAGCAGTATATCACCGTTCTTGTGAATAGAAATCTTTTCCCTGGGATCCTGACATATATACCAGTCCTTATGGAATGAACTCAGCAGAAAATTCCTTGTATACTTCATAACAGAAAAGAGAGTGAATGAACTGTCTTTATCTGTTGGGTAATGTTGTCACAAGCATAGTGAGGGATGAGAAGTGCAAAAAAATATTCATTCAAATAATAATATTAATTCCTCTTTAAAAGGTCCATCTGAATTTTGATTAGTCTTTCATCTTGTTGAGGTGAACACTTCAAAATAAAAAATCCTTTATCCTATTACCCAGTAAGATCATTAATCAAGAGAAAGCTTTCTACTTATGATAATGACTAAATTTTTCTCGTATAGAAGCTTCCGAACTTGAATCCATATGGGCATTTTATTTAGAAAACTGGAAGGTCTTTTAGGTCTTTCTTTGAAGTTCCCACAGAATATTGCGTTTCTGTTGATATGATGCCTTACGCTTGACAAGAAAATAAAATTGGTTTCAATGTTGCAAAATTCCTCACCAAATAGTTCTGATCCATCTCTTTCCTGAAGAATAAATCGGTAATTTTTCTGCCTCATAAAATATCCCGGCCGACAAACTGACTCAAACGATACAGTGGTATTTCTTTCTTTAGCTTGCTTGTACAACCCAGGAATATGAGCTCTAAAGACATGGCAGAAGCGATCTAAATTTACATTGCCATTGATTGATCGCCAGCAGAAATTAAGGGTCCCATTCTCCTGCGTATATGGAGTGAAGTAAGAGTGGACACTGTATAATCCTCTATCTACAACTGGAAGCGAAACGTGGTTACAAAAAGTTGCAAAGATTTATGTTTAGATACAATTTCAGTTCTAATCTGCAAAACCAGTATTTCTCTAGACCCGCGTAAACGCTCGTGAGAATTTGAGGGCAAATAGAAAATGTTCGCCCACCGTTGCTTAATAATGAAGAGATATATCGTCCTTCAAATCTCGAAGAAGTCTCAATGGTAATCCTTCTTAGGATGCTCTTAGGAGCATCGCCTCATTACTTACAAAAAGAAAGGAAATAAACATTGATGGTGGGCCTCACTAAGAAAGGATTTTATTGGAAGACATGTTACACAAAGCACAGACTAGAAATAAGTGCATTGTACTTCACCCGATTTTCACCTTTTATCCGAGGTATCAATATGTATTTGTCAGTGATTATGTTCCCCCGCTAGTTATTGGCTCTTGAATTTTCAGGATGTCAGGGAATGTCAGTAATTATTGACTTACTTTTGGCTGCAGCTCCTACTCTCCAAACTAACGCTCGAGCAATGGTCTGTGGATCTTCTCCTGCTTTTGGTATGTAAGTGACTACACGCTGTGTTGAATAGCCTTCTCCCCCACTCGTCGCTTCACCGGTTGAACCCACACCAACAATGCCCCCAGCCCCTTCACCACCAGTTGCAACACTACCCCCAGCACCAGTTCCAACACCTCCTGCAACAGCAGCTCCACCAACAGCTTCACTACTAGCACCAGCACCAGTTCCAATACCGGTTCCAGCGGCAACTCCACCTCCTGCTCCACTAATGGAACCTCCCCCTCCCTCTACTCCTGTGCCTCCGCCAATAACTTCACCTCCACCTCCACCCGCAACCCCACCTCCAGCAACTCCAGAAATTCCCGGTGCACCAACACCACCAATGGTACCAGAAGTACCAGTTGTGCCTGCTGCACCAGCTGTTCCAGATGCACCAGCTGAAGCGGTTCCAATCCCTCCTCCAAAACCACTAGCACCACCACCCCCTCCCGCACCAATACCTGTACCTGCCCCTCCAGTTGTGGTGGCACTCATTCCATCCATTCCTGGTCCTGTAACGGCCATGACGCTCCCATTCTTTATGATTATGTTAAATTTGTGCAAAGTGTCTCCATGAAGAAAATTTAGAGAATCTTCCAGCGTTTTCTTAATTGTTTTGATGGCAGCTTCCTCGCCTGCTTTAGCTCCAGACGATGACCCAGCTCTCACTCCTGCCATCGCACCAGCTTTAGCTCCTGCTTTTGCCCCACTTTTACTCGCCAATTTTGCCCCAAATGATAAACCAGCTGCTGCTCCGGCGCGCGCTGCTGTTTTTATTATAACTGCTAGAGCAGTAGCGTTTTCTGCTAAAAAGGTGAGTGTCAAGTGTGAGTGTCTGAAATGAAAAACACTAACAGCGGAGAATGTCATTGCGGCGTTTAGTGATAGAGCCGTCAAATGTTCTTTGAATAATATTTTTAACTCTTGTGGATGCAACTGGAATGATTGAAAAATTATAGACATAAAATATGTTTTAAATTGATAAAATTATGTGTTGTATTGTAACTCACGCATACGTGCACATCCAATTTAGCTTCTGTAAATTTAAATATAGAAAAGGAGACGCCTCATTCGTGATTTAAAATAAGGGATGTGCTGAACCTCTCTTGTGTTGGACGGGTCCTCAAGATTATAAAGGTTTTTTTCAATGGAAATTGAAATCTTGAATTTGTTGCTTATGTTTAATAAATTTCTCAGCATCTCAGATTTCAAGATTAAAAAAGTAAAAGACCAATAAAAAAATAAATAATTAAATAAAAGAAAAGGAAAAAGGAAAAAAAGAATAAAAGACATGTTTCATTACCATAATTGAAGGAGCAAATATGGCAATATTATGCTGCTTAGAGAATTCACTTGTGGCAAAGGGAAACCTTGTGATACTAATTTTCTTGCTAATTAACAAAAACACGGAGGCTAAAATTGACCAAAAAGGCACCAGGCTTGTTAATGTCGAAAATTCACGCAGTTTGTAAAGGATGCCCAAACTGTGTATCAAGATGATAAGGAGAGCACCTACTGTTGATTCTCCACAGGTACTCACCGGTAGTTGATTTCGCTTTTGTCCATAAAAACATGGAGGGTATTACTTTGTAAAATGATCCGTCGGGTGTCTTTAATCCAACTTCCAGGTGATCCTTCTGATGATCGTCCTTGAAAATAACCTCCATGTAGTAATATTTTCCTTTGATCAAACGAATCGGCAGGGACTTTTGATTGAGGAACCTACCGTTCAAGAGAGTTGGAATTAAAACGATTACACATTTCTGACAATCACCACGTCTTTCGGGTATTTTTCAGTGACCGGAAACGATGGATGTTCAAAGCGAGTCTAAACAACCGAGATGACCTGCGGTGTTGAATCACTTACTCTGCATTCCCAGCGTGTTTATATTATGTTATTTCCTTCTTTGTTGTTCGCTTTTAAAATTTGTTTTCATCGCTGGTTAGTTACGTCATTCCTTACGTGCACCCCTTCTTAATTAAAATCCTATTTCCGCCCTTAGAATCGATCAATTAATTAAAAGTCATGTTGTCGTTCGATCAGTCAGTGGATCAGACAGACAGTCAGTCAGGCAGTGATCTAGTGATTTGCTTGCTCAGTCAGTCAGTCAGTCAATCAGTCAGTCAGACAGTCAGACAGTCAGACAGTCAGACAGTCAGACAGTCAGACTCAGACAGTCAGACAGTCAGACAGTCAGACAGTCAGACTGTCAGACATTCAGACAGTCAGACAGTCAGACAGCCAGTCAATCGTATGGTCGGTCGGTCCACTTTTCATCGATTCATTTAATCATTCTCTCATCAATTCAGACTGTCTGTCAGTGAGTTAGCACGCTTGTCGGTCTAAATATCCCCCTCACACCTACGAAAAAGTGGAATGATCAAACCAAGGCCGTAATAATCGGCAAACCGATAGCTTACGAGCTTACGTCTTTTTCTACGAGGAAAAATCCTAATTTCTCATAAAATTAAATGACATTTTGGTATGTTAAAGATCTTAACTAATCTTGCCTGTCATATTCATACTGGCCAGTAGGAAATCCTCCATCTACGTAAGTGATCATTGCCTTGGTCTTTGGGTCATCGTTTATGCTCATAAACAGTTCGCTCCCAGCATTTGAAGCTAGGGTGAATAATGAACAGCAATAAGATGTGACAGGCACAAGTGAAAGTAATATAGTGTAAATGTAACTTGCTCCTCTGTCCCAATTGCGGGCTACAAAAACAAATGGGTTAGATGTAACGAGAATTTGCTGAAACAACAAGAATTAAACGGTTGCGTGTTTAAAAACAGTTAATTGTTGAGTGCAAGTAGAGTACGAGGTGAAATCTTTACCACCAGAAGCTTGGAGGGAGCTACTCAGACTAACTGAGCTACGAGGACACGTGTTAGGGCGAGGAAAATTAAGGTGGGCTCTTCCAATGCATTCCCGTAAAGGAATCTGCTCGTAATTAAATGATAAACAAGTGATGATATGATCCTCGCATGAGTATCGCACACGTTCGAATCTAGTCGAAGCCTGAATCTTTTCATTCTTCTTTTCTAGGATGCTAACAATTTCAGTTATAGAGTATTAATAACCAGATTGATCCTTACAAAGAAAGAAGTAGTGGTTTCCAGTTTGAAGAGGAACAAAATACGTCCTCAAACGGGAACCGAAGAAGTCTCCCCAGTTTGAAGGCTGCTCAAACGTTGGAACACACGTTGTAAAACTTGGCATGTTTGGAAATCGTGCATCAGCCAACAGAAACTTAACACGTTTGAAATCGATTCTGTCCCATCTCTCTAGGTATACGCCATTTTCCACTGGAGAAGAATACACACAAAAATGTGAGAAGTACAGTATAGTGACGAGGAACTGACGAAAGGTAATCGTGGTCTTCGGAAGACCATTGGTAATATATCACTTCTAGTACAATCAAAATAAAGAGCTATTTACTTACATCCGCAAAGCTCATGTCTAAAGCCAAAGCCTCGTCGCAGCCTGATCAGCTCGTAGGTATCTGTTGATGTCAGTAAAGATTAACAGAGAAAAAAATTCGTTATATTTTGGTAACTTTCGTTATAAACAGAAGCCTATATCTTTTATATTTCGTTGAAGAACTAGACCGTTCGCAAAGGTCAAAACTTGCCGGAAGTGAAAAAGAGCTGAGTACAACTCAATGAAAAATCTCAGCAAGCATCAGGTACAGGAAAACATCAGGTACAGGAAACAAAACGTAATAATTCAATGAAATTCGAGAGATCTCATCACTTCATTACGCCTGCTCTTTTAACCGTAATTGGGCCCGAAGGTGCATTTTTATTTCTACCCTCCTCTACGTTAGATAAAACGAAATTTAATTTTATCGGCCCTAAGTACGTAAAATATAACAGAGAAAATAAGTAATCAGCCTGTGTCGGAGGAAAAAGTTGAAACAGATTCAACTTCAAATGGTTTCCTTCCCTTAGAACTGCAGTTTTTAACTATTTATTTTAAAAATAGTAATTTCATAAGTACGTCCGCTTTGTGTTCGAAAAGACTCATGATAACCTTGGAGTATTTGTTTGACAATACAGTTGACCCTCTCAAAAAAGTGACAAAAGATCCCTCTGATTACTTTAGCACTTGAACAACCTACCTGTTGTTTCTATTACTTTGGTGTTAACTTTGCAGAATGACTCAATACAGAAGAAAAATAACATAAAGTACATGACCACCAGGGAATATATTGTAAGTAAATAGGGCTTAAAATGAAATCGCCAGAACTAGGTTGTTGTCGTCATTCAAAGATATTACATGGTTGGATTTGAAAAGCCACCTGCTGTGAAAATCTAACGATGGAGGCTTGAAACGGGTAATCTGACTGAAAGATTATTGGCTCATTACCCCGACATGTTATGTACAGTGGTGGTATCAGTGAGAAGAACCAAGTTCACCCAAGTAGAGATAAGATCCAATAAAAAAATGCATAGATTCCCTGATATTTACATTTATACTCAGGATTCTCTTTTCGGAGTCAAAAATAAGGAATGACCTTTTCGGTTAGAGGAGAGAACCCAAACTTACATAAATTCATAAATTGATTCTGTTCAGGGTGTTTATATCTACAGTATCGTTAAGAAGATTTGTTTAGCTTTAGAGAGTTTATCCAGATAAAAGTATCCAAAAATTTTCATATTCGAGAGATGTGTTCAATGGATACGAACCACGCCCAGACGGCAAAGTTCTGGTGCTGTCAAGTACCTGTCAGGAGCATAGCAAGTCATTTTTGGCTTGTAAGCCTGTTCCATAGCTCGTAAATATGGTGCGGCCGGGGAAGGTATATATATTTAAAGAAAAAAGATAAATATTCCAAGAAAAATTTGTAAGCCTGGGCTAACTGGCTTAAAGGGGGCTACGCGCCTACCTGTCATATATCTTAACTTCACTGCTTCCCCACATGAAAGTTTCCTTACCAGTAATTAGGTGTATCTTTATGATATTTACAGAATAATTCGAATATTGTAACTTATCATGTACTTGTTCGTGGAATATGTAGGTAGTATCCATTTAGAAAGCTCTGGTGAATATGGTGCCTGCAATAATTTTCTCCCAAAACTATAGCCTCAGCACTTACACAAACTAAAAGTCTTGTCCAGTGCTGAAGAAGTCAATTTATTTAAATTGTAACTTTAATGTCAAACTGTTAATGCTTCTATCACTCTGTTATAAGGTTTACCACTACTTCTAAAGGTGGTTAGGTTAAACCTTCAGACGCACGCAGTGAAAAGTCAATTTAAAGTGAGCTTTTTCCACAATTTTTATTACTAGTAGTACTGGGAGGTACATCACTGATTACGAGAGATTCTCTACTAGTTGATCTTCTTTGTTGTATGAGAAAACAGGAACAGATTGAGTCAAATATAACACCGTACATCTCACTCAGTTTGGTTTTTAAAATAAAAATATTATTTTCAGCGTTCTTGAAGCTCGCTTCTATACTTTGGGCAAAAAGAGGAATCATCTATTCGATTATAAAAATATTTAATAAAGGTTGAAACGCCACCTGGACCTTTATACGTAAGTTGGATTTTAAGACTGCTGCTGATATGCTCCGATAAGGATACTTTAGCTCATGTTATTCAGTTTAAATATGTATACTTGAAATCTTAATGAATATATTTGGTTCTCCATCTACTGCATCCATTCACTGATTAAGTTAATTTTCATCTTAAAGTAACATTTGATTTAAATACTTTTCAAGAGCAACAATTATCATGGAAAATGCTAGGCTTTCGATTACCTTAACCAATGGAAAAGAACAACCCACTGTCTATGTCAAAAGTAGACGCATGTTCTATCTATATCCAAGAACGTTTTAGGTGGTGTGTTCTATATGCAGTGCATGTTTTAGACTGATATAAAATAAAAATGTCATCAAGAGATTCTCTCTGGCAGCGTATAGTTATTACAGAATAGCACTGCCCCACCATTTTTGTTTTAATGATAATCCAAACACGTAAGCCGGTTAAAATTGTTTATATTATGATTCTAAGAATCTTCTGCCTGTTTGTTACAAAAGTAACTGCAGCTGCAGCAGCGCAGGATTGCTTTCCTTCGACGGATTCTGTTCCGTCCAGATTATAACCTCATTAATAGGCAGGGATGACTTTGTATCCACGTTGAATTCTTGTCTGTAACAAGCTTTCTAACGACAACAGGATAGTGGACAGGAAATGGGGCACCCAGTGGAGGAACAGCTCGTTGGACAACCTAAAAAAGAGAGGCGTAAAGTGTTTAGATATATTTCCATCCAAACGATTCAGCAACCAACAGTTCGACTTATATGCCTTGCAAGAATGGAAGATGGTTATGAACGATTTTATGATGTCAATGAAATTCAAGGAACAGATCAGAATTTAACTGAAAATTCATCAAATATACCGATGATTGTTCTCACTTATCTTTCACGTTAGTTCTGTGTTCATCTGATTTGATAAAGGTTGCAACTCAAATATGCGCCAAACTTCTGATGACCAAGAATTGTTTCATTCAACGTCGTAAAATTTCTTGTTTTTTTCTTTTGAATTCGTTATAGATGCCAAGCGTAGCACAACTATGCTGATAGAAAGATAAGATGCAAAAAACACATTTTATTCCCTTGTCTAATTAAAGAAATGAATTGCAAACTTGAACGTCTTCCGCTTTGACTTAGATTTATCTCTTATTAACATCATAATTGCATTAGATTAATCATTGTAACGATCCATTGATTATGCATTTTTCGAATATGCCTCACGTACCAGGAGTAAGATGCGGTGTCTTCGAATAATGGTAGTGATAATGAATGGAACCTGGCGCTTTATCTTAAAAAAAAGAAGAACATTCAAAACCTCCTTGAGGTGGGATACACATTAGAGAGGTACAACGTTCCACCGGGAGATGATTGCATTGCTACAGATATCATAAAAAGTTTATCTGAGTATGGTTGAAAAGCATTTGTCCCTGACTTTTTTAAAATGTAGAAAGTAGTACGTGGATGGCAAATGATATTGGTCGGTCCGTGTTTATCAAATGAAAATAACAAAAGCGTTTTTGATCTACAAGATATGTCTTTGTGGATGTGGCTATTTTATTGCTATTTACTCTAACGCCTGAAGAGTTGTCCTAACCTAACTGCTCCTATTGTTATATAACCTGTTATCAGTCGCTTTTCTTTTAGTTCATCATCGTCGTTTATCTTAGTTAGTAAAAAGCACTTACTTTGCTGGTATAATCTCGTAGCAGAGATATTCAAACTTCTTTTTTAGGAAATGATGACCAGGTGGGCTACATCGAAACCTTCCCTTTAGATCAAAAAGGCGAAAACATAATAGTGTTGGCGTGCATCAGGTTAGTTTGTGACTTACCTGGAACTGCCGAGACTGCTTGGGCTGAAATGACTGGTGCAGAGGAGGCTGGTGATGGTGCTGGTGGCGGTGGAAGAGGGGGAGGTGGAGGAGGAAGAGGAGGAGGAGGGGGAGGAGGAAGGGAAGGAGAGGGAGGGCGCAGTTGTGATATAGGTGGCGAAGGATAAGGTTGAGAAGTTGATGTCGGTACGCGAGTGCCCAAGGGGAAAGGCCCAAATTTTCCCGGCCTTCTTTGTGACTTACTATCTGCAGTTCAAAAGAATAATAATGGTTTATCAGTTTCAATCATGAATACGTTTTAGAATGTCATTTACGCATCGTCTTTGCACATAACAAATCTGACGTTGTATTGGGAATTTTCTAATTAGGTTGGATTATGCTTAAGGCTGAAAGACTGTCCATCAAAATCAATAGCTAAATAATTGGAAAGAAGGTCCCTTGTAAAATTGTTGCAATGACTTTTCAACCACAGGCATTATATTCCCTCATACCAGCAAGCGATATTTGAATTCTTTTTATTACCACCTTGTTAGGAGACCGCGCAGAATGCAGTTTTTGAGCGCAAACAGAAACTTGGTTACTAAGACAGTTATGCACAAAAAGACAACCAAATCAAATAAATTTTACCCAGGTTGATTATTCTGCTCTGTGAATATGGAACAAATATGTGATATCATATGCACATCACATTATGCCGGTTTACCTGCAGCAGCATTCAGCTAGACGAATAATAAATCGGAAAGGGTATGTCCCTTGACACATGCCACGAGACAGATAATGCGTCATACCTTGGCTGGTGACTGAAACATCCTTGAACACAGGACAACCAGGGACAGGTGTTTCTGATATGCTTGTTTCCTCATTCAAAAGTAATTTGCTTTTTCTATTCGGGTCCCCAGCGCTAAATGTAACATGGCTATGTAGCTCAGGTCGTTCTATGATGAGTTTAAGCTTAAATCCTGATCCAGTGACAAGATAAGCTTCATGTTTAAGAGAGGAGAGGAGCTTGAATGAAGGTCCAAAGTTGTTTATGAAGTTTAATGCAACGCACATCTCTGGATGAGAAAAAGTGGAAATAAGTAAGTACTAAATCAACTTATTGAAAAGTGAGTAAGAGCTATACATGTTTATCATTAAAAAGCATTTTGATAAAGAGTAGCTGATGGATTGTGGCGGAGAATCAGTTTCAGTGGACATTTGTTATCATGTATAAATGTTTCGTGTTTGTTTCGTGGTCGCTTCATAATAGTCGACTAGCTGTAGTCTCTGTTTTGTTCTTAATTCTAATTAATTCTCGGGCTTTGAGTCTAGAATTTGACCGGGAGTCTGATAATTCAGTAGGAATTATGCATCGTCAGTATATCAACATGCACCATGAATAACATTAATGACAGACTAAAACATGTGTGTACTTTTTCCACTTGCGACTAAAGGTTCCAAAGGACCATTTATGCCTGTTTCTTTAAACATTGCTGGTGCTCCTGGTGTTGACCCTATAGCTCCTCCAGAGGAACATAAGGGGATGCAGGAAGGCTGGGCTGGTTGGGCGACTGACTCTGAAACTAAGTTAGCGGGATGGGGGTGTGGCTCTCCCATGATGGTTGGTGGTTTCACTGGTCCAACAACGTTCCGGCAGTTCCTGTTTTTGTTTTCGTATGGGGGAATTGGCCAAAATGAAAATGTACATCTCTCGAGGACGTCGGGATCACCATTGTAAAAGTCCAGCTCCATAGGCGTGACGTGTTTAAGTTGTTGTTTTTTACTTTGGCAAATGTACCAATCATTGTGCATTGATTTCAGTAGGAGATTCCTACTAAATTTCATCACTCTAACCAAGTAGAAAGAACTGTCTTTATCTGTTGAGGAATAGTGAGTTCTACGTACTTTAATAATCACGTTTATACCTTCGTTAAGATACTTTGATCTGCTCAGTTAAGGGTAAACAATAAAATATGCCAAACAAAAAAAAGTTAACTGTGATGAAATCAGTCTAATTAATCCTGTATATTCGGTGTACAAGTTCGAATTGGTGCTAGAGAAGATTGTTCTTTCAAACAAGAAAATTGTTTTTTCAGAAAAGGATCTTAATAACCGTCTAGAGTTAAGAAATGTGGACGTTAATTTTACTTACCAAACAGTTCTGATCCATCACGTTTTTGCAAGATAAAATTATAGTTTTTCTGCCTCAAGAAATAACCTGGAAGGCACACTGATTCAAACGAAGCGCTTTCTTTCTCCGCGTCAACCTTTTGATACAGTGCAGGAATTCGCACTGTGAACACTTGACAGAATTGCCTGAGAGCCATTTTCCCATTATAAGAACTCCAACAGAAGTTCAGGCTGTTATTTTCTTGTGGATATGGTATATCCCAGGAGTGGACAGTGTAAAGTCCATCTTGAACAACTGAAACATGCAATATGCAAAAATAAGTTTAGTGAAGCTTCAGGTTCAATCTAGTTCAGTAAAATATAGCCTTCTGAACGTCTAGTTCTCACATTTTACACCGGACACGGTCTGGTAGGTAATTACCCTATAAACTTGAATTATCGTGGGAATCACTCTTCTGAGATCGCTTCGTTCAAGACAGTCTTGAGCTAAAACTTCAAATGGATCCAGAAAATTAAAAAAAAAGTTTTTCTATCGAGTTTATATTATCTCATTAAAACTTTCAAATAATAAATATGTCAATGTTAAGAGATTTCTAAGCTAAGACATCCACTTACGTTTACTTGCAGCTCCTTGTTTCCATACAAGCATCCTTGCCATTGTTTGGGCGTCCTCTCCAGGCTTTACGATATATGACGCCTCCTGGGACCCCAAAAATTCATCTGGTGGAGAACTGGCTTTATTACCGCTAGGAACAAGAGAAACATCTGTTTGACCGCTTGAAATTACTTGCGAACCTTTTGCAGAGACGGACGCTCCATTAACCACTTGTCCTGCTGTACTTTCACTACTTCCAGCACTGACCCTTCCTTGGCCACCTTCAGCTACCCCCACCGATGCTGTTGATCCCCCTCCGTATGCTCCGCCCTTTATTGTCTCCGATCCTATCGCGCCTCCTTTACCTCCAGAAATACCTACACCGCCCTCGCCTCTTGCACCTTCTTTGCCTTCTACACCTTTTACGGCCCCCTCTGCTTTTCTTGTGCTTCCTGTACCACCTATGCTTCCTACGCCTACTGCACCCCCTGTTCCTCCTGCACCCCCTGTTCCTCCTGCACCACCAGATCCCCCACTTCCACGACTGCCTCCTGATGTAGGGTTAGTGACGGAAACCACGTTCCCATTTTCTACAACGATTTTAAATTGATGCGAGTTGTGTCCATAAACATTATTGAGTCTGTCCTCGATTGTTTTTGTGACCACCTGTTGGGCAGCCTTTTCTCCTACACGTGCTCCGGCGGATGCTCCTACCTCCATTCCGGCCAAGGCACCAGCTTTAGCTCCGGCCTTCGCACCACTCCTCTTTCCCCAGTGAGCTCCAAATGCCAAACCAGCTCTTGCACCAGCTCTCGCAGCAACTTTAAGCAATATTGCTTGGTAGGTTGAGTTTTGCTCTGGTAAATAATAACAATGAGTTATAACAATGAGTTACAATGAGTGATAATGCTTTATTCGCTATTATACTCTATAACACATCATAGGGAGAAAATACTTCTTTTAATGTTTATCAAGTATATGTAGCATATAATTTCGCCTATTGTAAGCTTGTGTGTTTAGTCGGTGGCTCTTCACAAAAATCACTCGAGAGGATAGGAATGTCGTGGCACTTTAATTTAGATTTTGATACACGTACTAGCCACTGACCATGTTAAAATAAAACTATCAAAGTCTATTTTAAAATTTACCCACCAGGCGTCGGTGGCAATGTTGTCCACAAGAATTTTGAGGGTATAACTTCGTAAAATTTTCCGTCTGGTGTCTTGACAGCAGCCTCCAGGTGATCTTTCTGGTGGTCATCTTTCATCACAGCCTCCATGTAGTAAAACTTACCTTTCTTCAGGTAAACAGGTAGAGATTTTTGATTCGTGAACCTGAGGAAGAAAAAAGGAAAACACCATTACGCCTAAGTTTCAGTCATCATACACCGTACTGAATGCTCCCGGAAAATGTATGACGAAAAATTGAAATAATTAAACAAACAAAAAAATTAACACTAAGCGTACCAGGTCCCTGCACTGTAGTAGCGGGGAATATTTTATGTGGCCACGACGGAATACATGTACGAATTTTATTTTCAAAGAGAAGAGCGAATCAGTGAGGAACTCTATTAACACGAGAAAACTGAATATATATTTCGAAGTTATATATAAATATATATATATATATACATTATAGATGATGAAAAATCCGTAGCGGAAATGAAAATTCCTGCACGAGAGAAAAAGCTTTCCTTTGAGGTGAATACAAAAGACACAGATTACACTTCTGTAAATATAATTAAAAGAACAAATGGCATTTTGATGCCCAAATTATCAAGGCGACATTGTTAGTTTGACATGCACTCGTTCAAGGTATCATATTTCGAGAGAGGAGAAATTCTGGCATTTAACAAATCTCTATAACAGATTGGTAAAATTTTTCGAAGCAAAAAAATGGGGTTCTGTACATTCATACGGTAAAAACACTCTGTCAATGCAAGAAATTATATTTCTTTAGTGTGAGATTTTCCGCTACTGCACGTGAGAAGGGTCTAGCATCCTTAACTTGCATTTGTGCATATGATCTTACCTGTCGTACTCATACTGATACGTTGCAAATCCTCCATCTACGGAAGTTATCATCGACTTATTTTCAGGTCTTTCATCCGTGCTGAGGTAAAGCTCACTTCCGGCGTCAGATGCTGAATTAAAAAACATTAACACTCATGTACAACTTAATCACTTAAAATGTTATTTAGTAAGTCGAACGGTACAGCTTGAACTTTCTTCATCATCCGCCAACTTTCTTTAAAGTAAAAAAAAAAAAATCATTGAGAAACATGCATCTGACATTACCGAGAAGAATTGATGATACCAAAAAGGAAATTGCGAAGAAAATATTTTTGACAAGAGAGCAATAAAAAACTCAGGCCAGTGTCCTCCTAAAATCGGCTGGTTCCTCCTACCAAACAAGAAAAGAGCCACGCATCTGAAATGAGGCAGAGTGCAATGGGTTATTTGTCTACTTAAAACTAATTTCATCTCACAAATCATTGGCCAGGTTAAACTGAGGACAAAAGCAAAGAGTCTGAAGTAAGTTTGCGTGAGTCGCCATTAACATTACAATGAGAAAAGTAAAAAAGAATATCGTACAAAGATAGAAATAGTGGTTTCCTGTCTGTAGTGGAACGAAATAGGTCCTTAAGCGCGACCCATAGAAGTCTGCCCAGTCTGACGGCTGTTCAAATGTTGGAATACATGTTGCATAACTTGGTAGGTTTGGGTATCGCGGATCAGCAAACAGAAATTTTACGCGTTTATAGTCGATTCTGTCCCATCTCTCCAGGTAAACGCCATGAGTCACTGAAAGGAAGATAGAGATGATGCAGTAAAATGGTTTAAGTTGTAATGGACATCTCTCATTCAGAATACTAATGATATAGAAGCACTGGCAGGCAGAGGGTAACTTACAGTTACAAATCGCATCTTTGACGCCAAATGATCGTTTCCTTCTAAACGTCTGGTACTCATTTCCTTAAAAAATAAAAAAAAAAAAAGAGAAAATGAAAAAATGTACTGTCGTTCATAAGAAACACTGCAAAACTGTTCGCTGTGATTGGGTTTGATAGTTACTCGTAGTTTAAAACAACGATAAAACGATTCAATAAAGTTGGTAGAGAGAGAAAGACAGGGTCTAGTTTAAACCCATGTGTGAGTGACCGTTGAGATATAACCCCTCCTTAATGTGGTTATACCCTTTCAGAGAGGAGATTTTGATTTCGTAGGAACAACTCAGGTAAGAAATAGTGCAATTAAAATTATTTCACTGAGAATGACAGTACAAAACAAATCCAGCCCCAGGGTACGTGAAGCAATGCTAAGTGTTGCTGACCCTTCTAAAGTAAGCTATTGACATCGTCACTGTCAGTGTGAGGCCGAGCGTTCATCTTTAAGACCCCTTTAAACGGTTTCAACATTCGTTCCAAAAAAATTTAAACGGATGTTGGGCAAATGTCGGACGCAAAGCGGAGGCCTTTCAAAGGCCTTACAAAGGAAAAGTCGAATAGACGTTGAATGAAAATTTAAACTGATCACAACTGGTTTCAACACGCTTTTAACAAGCTTTAATCATTTTTTATTTTTTCAACAATGTTGGACGACCTTTTCCAACGCGCCGAACATTTGGTTCAACAAAGTGTTGAATGCATGTTGAAGCAAATGCTGAAATCGTTTAAACGGGCCTTTACACTCCACAGTTACAAGGATTTCGAACTTTTCCCTCAGCCGTGAATTATTATTCATGCAGAGTAAACAATTACATCGAAATAAGATTTCTCCTTTGGATAATCAACCGCTTAAAACCTCAAATTACTGAAATTGGGGAAAAGAAGAGCTCACAGTTTCAAATGGCTCGTTATACGGGTGGCATACGTTAAGTGGCTGTCTTTCTAATATTTCCTGCTGGTGCTCTATACATCATGAAATTTCGATTTTGTCCTCTTCTGCCTTCATCTAATATTGATGATAGTTCCATCTTCACCATCAAAAAATATTTCCGTGATTTCCCTGGAATAAGTGTTGTCTCTGCATTGACAGAGAAAAGGAAGCATCTAGTTAGATTCCTAGTTTTTCAGTTATTGTAGCAGTTTTTTTCAGTAAAAAATATCCATTAGGTCATAAAAATGATTGAAATATATTCCGGAGACATTTTGACAGGCTTTGTTCTAAATGCAGTTATATAGGAGTAACGGTTGATCTGGTCTTTTGAAATAAATTTGATAAGCAATATTTCATGGGGCCAGAAAATGGGGTAGTGAAAAGGTTCATGTTAGATGGATAACCTTCCACAATTAAACTAGTATGTATATGTGAGCCCTCTGCCATATGTCTTCCATTCCAAACTCTATCTTTGTTTGTAAGGAGTCAATGTAGAAGGCCCTTTTAAAGTCTTGAATTAAGGACATTGGTTGGGGCTTATTAAAGGATCGAAAAGGTCGTTTCAACTTGCGAGGGCAATGGTTATTCATAAAGATGAAACGTTGTTATGAAAGTAACAAAACGGTAGAGAGATAACGGAGAAAGACCAATTTAAAAAGAATCAAGTAATAACGGAGAGAGACCACCTCGCAAGAATCAAGAAATACAAACATTACGGTGACAAAAAGTGCACAGAAGTATAGCAACTTATCTACTGCAGACGGTGCTACGAGATTAACATCTGTGGTATCTATTGTGCTAGGTTGGAGACTTTGATTGAGTCCTTTTCCATGGGAAAAATATTCTGTAAAATTAACACACGGCTCCACTTACATGGACAATATACATCCCTCATACTCACCTGAATATCTTTTGCATGTTAGGGAGAGTATTGATCGTTACAGCTTTAGACCGACGTTTTGCAAACAAATAGGTTTTTCAAACGGATAATTGCTAAAACAGCTCTTAAAAGCATAACAGAGATTCGCTATAGTTGCTAAAAAGAACTCAAAACTCCTCACCTGTTTGGGTACTGCTGTGTGATAGACCAGTCAAAAGATGAAAGTGCACTATTGAATAGATAAAAATGTTTGGAAACTGCATTAAAATCAACCACTGCATCGAAGGGTCAAGAGCTTGAACAAGGAAGTTTGAGCCTGTCAAAAGGATGTGTATTTGCTAAAATATAGGGCACTCAAAAACCCGGCCACCTGCAAAAGTAAGCGATATTGTTTCATAAAATGGGTAACGTAGTTTTACAACTATTTTGTTTTACATCTAGCCTCTATTTACAGGAAATATTATCACTAAAATTAATTAAGAGTAAAAACCCCCTGCTACGACAGACTGATTAGAGCCCTTTGTCTTCTAGTGGGTTTCATTATTCACTCAGCGCTTAGCGCTTAGTCACGAGGATTAACCTGAGAAGGAGGTAGAAAAAAAAATTCTAAATCTCTAAATCGCTTTCCTCGTCCGTGACATGGGGTGGCCACACTGCTAACGTTTTCTTGTGAAGGAAACTGTACCATGCAAATTTTTTATCAAGATCAACTGAGCAGGAAGTTATTTAAATGCAAATAGGCTAAAGGTCGAACATGTGAAGAGCTAGAGACAGAAACAGGGCGATCCTAATAATAATAATAATAAAGACTTTATTTTACGAGGGTAACACATAATAGCATAGCTAATAAACTTGTGGCCCTCATCCTAACAAAGCTTTAAAGACCTTTCCATACAAAGCGACGGTATACGCGTATAGCCGGTATGGAAGTGCCTTTTTCAAATACATGTACCCATATGGACCAAGGAGTATCTGCATCTCACACCGCATTAGGGACCATAATCGAACTTCTATCAGTTAGACTATGATACTTTTTGAGCACATGTGACCCACAGTTGTCTTTTACAGGTATTCTAGACCTTGACAGACGGAACTTTAGCCTGGCCACACGCGCAAAACGCACGCTGGCATACACGAGTAAGATCGCGTATAACACGAAAATCCAGTGGATTTTCCAATCTAGGGAGACTAAAGCTTTCTGGAGAGTTCATGGTTCTAGTTTGGCTCAACAGGTAACCATATTAAGGATTTTTCCAGGTTCTTTTCATTCACATATAAGCTCATATATATATATAATTCTCGAACTTGAGTAGAATAAATCTATAGAGCGCTCAACTCTGAGAGGAGCAGTAATAATAATAATGATCAATGGTAGCAAAACTTCAGTTCATCGTTTTAATGCACTAAAACGATGAACTAACTAGCTGTCTGCTAAACTGGGCTAATTGGTACAGTTGGAAGGTCATCATACCAATGATAAAGTCACAGGTTTCACATCTCTTAACTACCAGTGTCTAACTTTCATTTTGATAAAATGACGCACCGCAGATCGCTTATTGACCAGTATTCGTCATCTTTTTTGCATCAAAAGCAAGTTCGCTAATTCATGAAAACTTCCCGGGTAAGGATTAACAATCAGGAGCACCTTTAAGATCCAATTAGAAAAAAATGTGTCCGTTAGTAAAGTAGTGATCAATGCCTTAGGAAACCTAAACTAAAATTTGGTCCTATTTTGACGTCATATTTAGACTTACTTCATGCTAGACTCTTGAACAATGTTGCCATAATTTGTAGATTTTCTTTTGCCTCACGCCTTTTGTGATAAACTTTTCAGTACCTTTGCTTCCCTTTGACTTATGAATTTCTCTCACAAAAATCGTCGCAAAAAATACATTTAATTGACCCATATCTTAATCCATTGAAAGTCATAATTGGCAGCATTGTTATAAAAGGAGCATCAAAGTAGTGAAGTATCCCCCAGAGGGTTTTCATAAACCATGATATTGACATAACTTGCAACAGTTTCTCTTCAACGCGAATTTCACACCATTCGTGTTAAACCTCAAGTTCTTTTCAAGTACTTTCTTTCTACAGTTTCTTGTCTGTTCTCCACGCAACATCTTTAAATCCAGGTAATTGTGTTTCTGTCAAGGCAAAAATACAAACTGCCCATATGTTCCTTCATTCGACTGTTAAATTCGTTCGTTTTAGTAGGAGCGGCGTTAATCGTTTAAAAAGTGTTGCTAAATAAGTCATGGTTCTTGGATATCAGTTCACAGGTGCCCTTTTGTTAGTTTTATGGTCAATCAACTAAAGACAAAACCAATATCAATATTTATCAACAGCAGTGACCTTGTTTATGCCCCGCTGGGTCTTTTTTGCCACCGTTAAGAATCGTCGGAAATGTGGCGATCGGCCACAATTTGTCTTCTTATACGCGGTTATGTTTTAATCGCAGCTTCACCAAGCAATGACATTGACATCAAGAACGGTAACGGGAAAGGTAAGCAATGCTCTTTTTGCTAAATAAAAACTTGCAGCACCGTCTCACCAGAGACAGTTAACTGAAAATCCATTCAACCTGCCGTCTGGACTTGTCTCGAAAGCTTATTGTTTGTCTTAACAGAGATTTATTTCTCATACCTCTTTCTCTTACCGTAAAATCTATTTTGCTGCACACAATCAAAATCAATACTGACATATGCCTAAATGCGAGTTGATTCCCTTCAAATGTGACAATTTGTGTTTACTTTTACTTGTGAACCCCAAATGTATTGTCACTTTGTTGATTTCCGTGATTGCAGAAAAATATATCTGCTGATCTAACCCCTTGGGGTCTACTGATCGATCTGATAATTAAATCGAACTGTTTTTTTTTTCTTGATAATCGTATGCCCCACACAATATATAGAGACGTTGTCTTCCACTCTTTAAGCCTTTTCAAGAACGTGCTCAGCTTGGTCGCTTCTCAGACTTCCATATAAATACAGATCATAGGTCCTTAAAAGTTGATTCTACATTATTTACAGAAATTTATTTGTTGTGAAAAACGAAAGTTAACGTAATTTCATCCAATGTCGTATGAAGCTGATCTAAACGTTAGTCATTGAGTATTCAAAGTGCGAATCACAAGCAAAAGTAAAGACGATCCCTCGATTACAAAATAAATGTTGATGTAACTCGTATACCTCGCACGTAGTTCTTCCCTCGTTGCAGAACGAAAAGAGAAAGAAGTTGTTCGTCAGAAAAGGGCGTTTGGTAAAGTTGAACCACCTTGTAACTGTAAGTATTCAAAATTTTTCAGACCCACATAGAACAAAAGGTAAAGGTAAAAAGGTGAAGTCTGGTTACGAGCCAACTGGCCCCTAAGACCGGCGCTTCACTCCGGTTTCCGTGGCATAAGGCGACTAGGGATATTTCTACTCTCCCCTGGATGGGGGGGAGGGGGGCTAGTCTAGCGCAGGGTTACCTCCCAGCATTTTATTCGCCGGTACCCATTTAAAGGGGGCACTGTGAGAGTAAAGTGTCTTACCTAAGAACACAACACAATGTCCCCAGCCAGGGCTCGAATCCGGACCCAAACCATGAGGCCACCGCGCCTCCCTTAGACCCATATAATAGTGTTCAATTTTCATGCATTTTTTAAGCATCTTTTAAGATACCATTTGAAATAACCCTCAAAACTTTATTTGTAATTTTCCTCCATAACTTCCATACATTTCCTTGTTGTTAACAGATTATAGGCTATTGAAGGTATTAGAAGATTCAGTTGTAAAATTTTGTTTATTTCCATCACATTTTGGCTTGCTAACACAATGAGATAATAGTAAGGGGGATGTCACACGAAAATGACCTCTGGGGGTAAAACTGCTCGGTCGTGAGTAGAACTCTTGCGGTAATCGTTTGTACCAAATTACCCTCGACGTGCCTCATAAAAATGAATAATCCTGCCGATAATAAATCACTATGTTCGCCTTCATTTAGTGACCCATGGCGTGTACTTGGAAAGATGGGACAGGATAGATTATAAGCGCATTAAATTTCTGTTGGCGGATCCACGATATCCAAACCTGCCAAGTTTTGCAACATGTGTTCCAACGTTTGAGCAGCCAGCAAACTGGGGGGACTTCTTTGGTTCGCGGCTAAGGACTTACTTTGTCCCTCTTCAGACTGGAAACCATTATTTTTACATCTGTAAGAATCTGTTAGTAATACCTAATAGCAGGCCAACCAAGGGGAATAAAGCAACACATGATGATCATGACATAATAATAATAATTGACCATGAAATTTCTGACATGATTTAACACTGAATGTTGTTAGAAAATTAAGCATACTCTGTAAATAATTACAACATTATAAGCTGAAGTAGCATCACATATATCGTAATACAGATTGCGGGCCCCGGTTGTTCGAAGGCTAGATAACGCTATCTACTGGATAAACCTTTATCCAGTGGGTAGCTCGGCACGTTATCTCCCATCTGCTGGAAAGCGATTTATCCGTTGGATAGCGTCGTCCGCCCTTTATATAACCGGGCCAGAATGCTAAATTTCAAACAAGTAATTTTCACGTGAAGAGCAATTCAAAGAATAGATTTGAAATCTCGATATATTTTCCAGAAGATCGTCAAAAAGCGAGTTGATCATGGTTGCTGTAGGGGAAGAATTTTAATTCGTACGTATCTTGAAATTAAAACGGCAAATTGTATGTTTTTCTCTCGCTTAATTATACATTACCAGGATACGATTCCTAACTTTTTTTGTGTCAAAAACAGCTTCTAATGCAGGAAGCGAGCTTTACATAAGCACAAATGACAACCCAAAAACGAAGACAATGATTACTGGAGTAGATGGAGGATTTCCTACAAACCACTACGAATATGACAGGTACGCTCACAACAAATGATGGTTTCATTTGCGGTAAACATTGCATGGGATTCATTTTCCAACAGAGAGGCGAAGGGCTAAGCAAATAAAAAAAGAGCAAACATCATACTATTTAATGTTCACCCTGTTAAAATAATAGGGTCTCAAAGGGGCGATGGCTTTTCCGGCTAACAGCCAAAACTTTTGGCCATTTTAATATCTCTTCATTATCGTCCTCAAAAATTCAGTTTATACTTACTTGTTTTACAACTTGAGGTTAAGATTTGACAATTTTTACGCCTAACTGCTCACTATTTCGGCAATTTTACGGCTTTAAGCCCCTTTTATTTAAGACTTTCTTAAATACTTAAGAAAAAAAGATTTAGCTGTGCAACTAAACTTGCCCAACTAGACTTGTAAATTATCAACAAGGAAAGCCCCCAGCTACGAAGGTTATCAATATCACAATCTTTACAGGTTTACAAACCAGAAGTCACTCCCAGTTTACCTGAAAAAAGGCGTGTTCTACTACATGGAGGCAATCATGAAAGATGACCATCAATGGGACCACTTAGAGGTTGCTTTAGAGACACCAGATAGCAAGTTTTATAAGGTGATTCCCTCTCAGTTCTTATGGACGATAAATCGCGCCTCTTCGGGTAAGTAGCTTTGTTTTATAATATGAAAATATAGTCATATTTTCCATTTTCCACTGGCCGAAGTATCCATTAATTTGCTCGTTCAAATGCCAAAAGGTCCCTTCCTTAGCCTCCAAAAGAAATTCTCAACATCTACTGAAGGCGATACATACTGTGTTAATTCATAAAACAAAATAACAGTTTAACAGTTTAATTTTATGTGGCGACTTCTTTCAGCCTATAACTCCACGTATCAAGCAATTTTGATCAAAGCAGCGGCAATAGCCGGCGCTAAGGCTGGTTCGTCATTTGGAGCAAAGTGGGCTATGAAGAGTGGAGCAAAAGCTGGAGCAAAGGCTGGTGCAATGGCAGGACTGAGGGCTGGAGCATCAGCAGGAGCTAGTGCAGGGGAAAAAGCTGCTGCTAACACGATGACAAGGACTTTGGAAGACGCAATGAATGCTCTCCACGGAGATAACGTTCACAAGTTTAAGATCACTCTCAAAAATGGCAGCGAAGTCGAAATCACTGGTCCTGGAATAGTAGGGGCTGGCGGAGGGGGTGGAGCCGGTGCTGCCGGAGCTGCAGCGGTCGGGGCAGCAGCGGCCGGAGGTGGAGCAGGGGGGGCTGGAACTGCTGGTGCTACCGCGACAGCTGGAGCTGCTGGAACGGCTGGAACAGCTGGATCAGCTGGAACTGCTGGTACGGCCGGAACTGGAGGTATGGCTGGGGCAGGAGGGGGAGGAGTAGGTGGTGGTGGTGGGGGAGAAGGAGGTGGCGGAGGTGGCGGAGGAGCAGGATGGGGAGGTGGAGCAGGCGGAGGAGCAGGAGGGAGTAGTGGAGGAATCATTGGCACCGGATCAAGTGGGGCTACGGGTATAGGGGGAGGCAACGCGGTGGCAGGGGGAACAGGTACTGGCATAGGTGGTGGTGCCAGTGCTGGCGGAAGTGTGTCTACAGGAGGAGGAGTTGCAATAGGTGGATCATCCACGGGGATGGCTACTGGAGGCTCTAGCGCCACAGGAATAGCTAGCGGGGGGGCCATTGGTGGGGCTTCGGCACAATCCTCTTACTCTTCACAGCGTAAGGTCACGTATATTCCAAAACCGGGAGAGGATCCACAGACTATTGCACGAGAATTGGTTTGGAGGGTTGGAGGCGCAAGCAAGCGTAAGTGAAAATGCCCCGTTTATCTCATTGAAAAACATCACCAATTAACAAAATAAATCCTTTAATTGAGAAAGATGATTCTGAACACTGAAGAGAGGTAACTCTTTTTCAAGACGAAAGCTTTACACTTTTCGATGCAAGAGGTTTCAAATCTGCGGCGTGCGTAAATAAAACATTCAGTATAATACACTTCTAGGGCCTCAGAGCGACATTTTTTTAATGACGACTATTTTACTCATTATTTTAAATTCATTCTGATCTCTTCAGCTGCACAAAAGAAAAAAAAGAAAGAAAGATACAAAAGAAGAAGAAAAAGAAGAAGAAGGAAAAAAAAAGGGCGCCCAAGACTGTCCCTAAGGCATGATTAAATTAAGAAGCCTTGAAAGTTTCTGACGTGGAGTTTGTCAGTGCTCGACGTTAGAAAATATACTTAGGTGTAAATTAGAAAGCCTGACAATCGATGTCTGTTAAATGGAAAAATAATTACCTGGTATTCTTTCCTTAGTTGTGAACCAAGGACTTTACACTATCCATTCATATGACATTCCATATGCCCAAGAGAATAGTACACTTAACTTCTGCTGGCGTTCAAAAAACAGTGATGTTGCATTGAGCCACTTCTGCCAAGTTTTCAAAGCTCACATTCCAGGCCTTTACGAGAATGTTAAGGACCGGGAAGGCACCGTTTCATTTGAGTCACTCTGTTTACCAGGACACTACATTAAGCAGAGAAATTACCACTTCATTCTTCACCAAAGGGACGGATCGAAACTTTTTGGTAATAATTTATTTCAAATGCTTGTTTGTCATTTTCTGTATTACATTTCCCCCCTCGTTCTTCGTAAGACTCAATCGACATAAAAGCAATCAGGGATGCAGAATCGAGTTCATTCCTAGGCCCATTTTTGTTTCACATTTGGAGAATACTATTTCACAATCAATGTGCGTCTCTTTTAAGATGGATTGAAAACATACTAAAGTTCCAGAACAACTTGCAGTGACCTCACTCCTCGTCTGTAACGTCATGTTTTTAGAAATGGCATAACCAACAGCAGTAGTATGTCACACTACTCATGTGTGAGTAGTGTGACATACTACTGCTGTGTGAGTAGTGTGACATACTACTACACGTAGACATACTACTACACGTGTGAGTAGTGTGACATACTATTAATTTGATCGTTTAATTTCAGATAAAGAGGGTACATTTAGAGCATTCTCTGTGATGAGGTATACTCGGAATTTGATGCTGCAATCTATGCATAGGGATTGGTATATTTGCGAAAAAAAGGCGAAGTCGATCCACTTAGCATCCGAATTAAAGTTGGACTTTTACAATGGTGACCCTGATGTCCTCATTCGCTGCACGTTCGTCTTTCATCCCATTGCTCAAAACGAAAATAAATACAGAATGTGTCAAAGGGTAGAAGGACCTGTAGTACATCCAGAAATAAGTGGACAGCCACTTCCGCATCCTCCTCACTTAGTTTCAAATGCACCACCATCCTCTTCTTTGCCCTCGTGTATTCCCGTATGTCCGGCAGGGCAAGCGGGTGGAGCCTCAGCTGGACCTGGGAATTTTGGACCATCCATTCCAAGCCCTCCAACGTCCCCTGGGAGTCCTTCTGTCGCGACTGCTAAGAGTAGGTGACTCTTTAAATGAATATATTGATGTGTTTCCTTGAATTCCTGTTTTGCAATTTTCATAAACGGATACTTTTTGTCCCCTATTGGTAAAAAATCTCTCTTGGGGTCAAATTTGTTATAAATTTACATTCCTCACTGTTAAATCAACAAGTTAATGCAAAATTCATACATTTTCGAGCGTGTGCCTTTGGTATACTTGAGTTAAAATTCACTTTGAGCAGAAATAAATCCATTTTGGCGAGTATAAAGAAACTGAGTGGCTTGTAGCTCACTGCATAAACTATTGAAAGTCACTTTCCTCCAAGTGTTACTTTTTTGCCAACAGGGGCGTGTGTCGCAGTGAACTTCATAAACAATTTTGGATCTGAATTCAAAATTGTATCGTCTCTCAAACATGAGGCATACCTTGTTACTGGATCTGGCTTTAAACTCAAGCTTATGATAGACCGACCCGAACTTCACAGTCACGTGACTTTCAATGCTGAAGATCCCAAATGGAACCGGGAATTGCTATTGAACAGTAAACCAAACATATCAGAAGCAGTGGTCGAAGGATGCCCTGATTTTGTGGATGTCATAGTGACATCAAAGCAAGGTAAAAATGTATTTTTTTGATGTAGGTTATTTTGTGCAATTAACTGTTCATAATAAACGCTAAGCAAATAAATTTTCCCACTAGTACAGCAACTCGATTGCGTTACAGCTATTTGAGTGCCTTAATTTTTTTTTACCGCCATAACCCAGTGACAGAATAATGCTTCAAACTTACAGCCCACTATGATAAAATTGCAACGCCACGAAATAAGCCCTGCCAAAAAACACAGCTGACTTTTCTTATGGGCATTAACTGCCTCATGTGTCTTTTAGTTGGTTAGAACATAAAATCATTAAACTAGCTTACGACAAATAATTCGTCTTTGATTTAGTCTTGTTTTTTAAGTGTCTTAAGAATATATATAAGTTAAACATTTTCGATTATGTATCGTTTCCCTTTTCTACCAAACCGCTTAGGATTGTTAACCACTTAACCCTTGATGTTTCTTTCAGTAGGACTGACGTCCTCAATTAACAATTCTTTTTTGTTCGGATTTCTCGACTGGAATGAACTACCTCTTATTATAAGAGAGTCAAATACCTTGTCAATCTTTCGTAAGAGTTTGATGGCGTTTTATTATCATAAGTTTAATGTAGATTTTCTCTAATTTTAAATTGAATCTCTTTTAATGATACATTTTTTTAAAATTTATTACTTATTATTTCTCTAGATATATGTAGGATGTAATAATGGGAGGGTTGATTTTAAAGGAGTCTTATACTCTGTTTTAAGCCTACATCAGATTGAGTGATTGATCAAATTAATTGTCTTTGTGATTGTAAAAATCTGAAATTTGATTAATGTATAGCATTTATACTAATACTTAATTCAGCAACGATAAGCTTCATCTGTATTAGTTTGCATCTTTGTATATGCAAATTTTTTTTCTTCTCAACTTTTGTTCGTTGTTTTGTTAATTAGTTACTTATCTTAAATTTAAACTTAGTCGCCACGTGTATTATTAACTGTCACTTCTGAAGATGTATGTCGAAACATACGAAACGTCAAGTAAAGTTTACTAATCTTGTTTTCCAACATGCGTTTTACTGTCATGTTTGTAACTGCAGTTTGTGTGCTATTTCTTATCACGCTACGATGGCCAAAGAAAAAGAATTTTTTTGATTCAATTATTTTTCTGTATATATATATATATATTTTACCTACATATACACGAACATATATTTTTTTTTTGGATATCTCTACACAGGCGTCCCAACAAACGGGACTGGTAGTCATGCTGCTCCTCCGTCACCTCCTTTAACACCCTCTTCACCAGCTTCAATATCCCCTCCACCCTCTCCCTCTACCCTTCCACCAGCTCCATCTCCGGCCCCGCCCCCATACAATTATCCAAAGCCTCCTGTTTCTCCAGCTACGGCACCTTCCCCAGCCTCCCCGCCAGCATCGCCACCTTCATCACAAGGGATTACACCTTCCTCGCCTCCAATACCAAATGGAGGTAAGTTTAGACATTGAAGAAGAACTGCCACTTATTTCCAGAATTAAACTCTACAGTGTTATACACATTTTTCGAAATTTTTACAGTTTTGCATTTTTAAATTTTAATTTTTAATTAAACTTTTAATTTTTTTTAAACTTCTATTTTTTTTGAAATTTTTAATGATATTTCCCTTTTTACGAGGTTTCTTTTCGTCATTGATTTGGTGAAATGAAATCCTGAACTTATATTCCAGAATAACGTACCTAACTTTTTCGAGTAGTTATACCGATGAATGCCTTGTTATATTATCAATGATAGCTCTCTCTGAGAAAAATCTCATTCAAACACAAATCCAAGATCATCATAGCCAGAGCTTTGGAAATATCGGAAATTGAGAACCCAGAAATCATTTTATTTCCTTATACATATCATTACCGCTTAACTAACCTTTTTGCATTTTACTCGTTTAGAACAGGAACCAAAAGCACTCCACTATCACTACCACTATCATGGTCAGAAAGCCCCGGCAATTCCATCAGGTATAAATGTAGAACAAAACCCTATGTTTATTCTGCTCTTACTGCAACCAAGTAACGTCCATCGCACTTTGGTGATCATTTAACGATTTCGGATGATCTGGCCGGATCCCTAACAAAAAACAAAACAAACAAACAAACGACAAAGAACACAACATTAATACAACTGTGTTGTACTCTAACTTAGCTCGAATATAATCATAAAAAAGCTGGAGTGTCGACAAGATTTAACAAATCTTTTTTTTAAATATGTGTTTGTTTTCAGCAGTTTGTCCCAACATGTGCTCGCAGTCTGAAGAATGCCTTCCCACTTGTCCATCACACTGCTGCAAGCGAGACCTCGATGAGGAAATATCAGACGACAATGATGAGGAAGATATAACGTTGTTTTGAAAACCGCCATTCTTTTCCCTCTTTGCGATTAGCATGTTTCTGTCGATCCTTATATTGAGGCAAAAAAAAGGTATTAACGTTTGTTTTGTTTGGCTTACCTTTCCCGGATGAGATGCCTAGAAACACCCCCGACCTAAAGAAAATATATAAAATGGCTTTCGAGGCAATTTTAAGCGACCCCTGCATCGATTGCACGAGAAAAAAGCATGTTAAGACATGCATTGTGTCCAAAATAATTGATCATGTATCTACCTCCATTTTGTTCGATTTCTTGCCATGAAAATTGTCGAAGACTTTAAAACTTACAAATAAACTGTTTATAACACTACCAAATGTGCGTGTCATAAAGTACCTGTCTCGAACATTTAATTTCCTCTGAATCTTGAAAAATATAATCCCATACACCACTGCTCCAAACTTTTAACAAAGTTTACGACCTTGTTTATGTTTTGGATTTTTAAAGGTTCTCGCTTTCTTATTAATCCACAAATTTAATACAAAACTAGAAATGAGTGCGACTCAATTAATTAAGTTTTCTTGCACATGGCGTATGTTGTGCGAGTTTTCATTGGTTCCCTGTAATACTTACTTTAGCCATGATTGGCTGCGTTAGATCAGATTGGTCTGTGTCTGAGTTAACGACACTATAAAATAAAGCACACAAAAGTATACCTCCAACATCGTATACAATGCCTTGCTGTCTTAATTGCCTGATTGTTTATTTGAGAGCCTCATTGAAAGCGAGGCAGGAAGTGTGCCAAAAGTATCATGGTACTTTACTGTTCGCCGCAGGTGTTCTTTTGTTTGTTCAAACACATCGCCTATTGAAAACCAGCATCAATATTTATAGACAAAATGACCTTTCGTTAGAGTTTCCTCTTGGCTTTGGCGCGTCTGTAGCCAAAGACGCTATTGATATGAGTCGATCAGTCATAGTTTGGTTTGCAGCTTTTGCTCTGATATCAGTCACCGTTTCACGTGGCCACGAACTTGGAATCCAGAATCTCACTTCTAAAGGTAATGAAATATATCCTTTGCAATAAATCTGTGTATCACTGTTTTCAAGTGACAGGTCAGTTACTCCTCTCACCCGCAATATCCTCTACAAAGTCAATCAAATAAATTTGATAAATGATGTTTCACTATAATCTTAAACACAAGATTTGTGAAATGCTGAATGCGCTGACTTGGGTTAACAAGCACTGCGACTGCTAACTACTCGATACTAAAAAATGTGTTTCACTCTAGATGTTGAACTTTATCTCCAGTGAATTTTTCCTCCGGTTTCGATCGTAATTTTTAGGTATCATATCTCACACAGACCCGGTGTAGATAGCTTGGCTGAATGACGTTTAAATGATTTGACAAAATAATTGTAGAAACAAATTCAAGGAGTCTGATTATATCGTAGCTTAAAAGTTTTTTCAAGGTATACCTCTTAATCACATTTAGAATGAAGTGAACTTGAATATCCCAAGTTTGATTTATCAAGGGGAAATAAACCTTGTGTTTTGTGGTGTAATAATAAACACTTCGCTTGATCCATATCTTGAATAAAATAAGTAACATCATTCCCGGCTCGGTTACAATTGGTGCTAAAACCTTCAAAGTTTTTGGGAAAACATTTGTATAAAATGTCATATCCAGTGATCACTTATTGAAGTACAAACATTTGTAAGCATTGGATAATAACGGTTTTAAACGTTATTTATTCTTCCCGACAGAAGTTGAGAACGATGTAGTTCGTAGAAAACGGGCATTTGGTAATTCTGCACCACCATGTAACAGTAAGTAAAAATCGTGTTTTTTTTTTTAATCTTTTAATTGACTTGTTCTGCTTGTAGAGTATAACTTATCTTCTTTCTTGAAATTTTCCCTGACGTAAATGACGTTAGAGTTTGGAGATCTTTCTTCTATTGCTTTTTCCCCTACCAAAGTATTTCCGAAAAAAGGAAATTTAACATATAGCCTACTCATGCTTCATGTTTAATTCAAATCTGAAGGGTGTTGCCCTTCCTACCTTGTCTAAACTAAGTGTAAACCTTTGTTACTTCGTATTTTTCAATATTAACTCTGTTTCAGGGACGAACGGCGTGTACTTAGAAAGATGGGATAGAATTGATTACAAAAGAATCAGATTCCTGCTCGAGGATCCTCGATATCCAAATCTGCCAAGTTTTACTACGTGTGTGCCAACATTTGAACAGCCCGCTAATTGGGGAGACTTCTTCGGTTCTCGTTTAAGAACTTACTTCGTCCCTCTTCAAACCGGAAACCATTACTTCTTTCTGTGTAAGGATCCGGACTCTATATGTAACTATAGACTGCTCTTCAATATATGAAATACTTTGCGTAAGACGTGTAAAAATAATTTCGGTAAAGGAGGTCCTTCTATAATTATGTAAAGGAAGTTACGTTGTAAACGTCGAATTGAAATGACTCAATCCAACTGGCAAGCTCAATGATGTAATAGAAATTTGGCGGAGAAGTTAGTGTTGCTGTGTATCTGAAGTTAGAAATTTTTGAGAAATCTGAGAAATTCTTGTTAGGACTTAAGTTCACCATTTAATTTGATCAAATCACACGTCAGAGGGCATGGCTGACAACCACATATCACGCGCAATGCATGATGCGTTTTGACCTCAAATGTGTACAACATGCACGAATGCTTCACAAACTGAATAAAAAGTTTCTTATTTAACTTAAGGCCTTTATTGTTACTGTTATTTTTTTTTTCACTTCCAGCTTCTAACGGTGGAAGTGAACTATACTTAAGTACAGATGATAAGCCAGATGGTAAAACTAAGATTGTTGAAGTAGATGGAGGATTCCCCAGTGAACAATATGAATACGACAGGTACATTTAAATGGGGAAAAAACGATAAGAGGGGAAAAGTGTAACCTGATTGAGTTTAGAAAGCCAGAAAGTGAGTTTATACCGACTGAGTATATCAGAGAAGAGATAAGTATTATAGGAAACCGCCG